TATTATATCCCTGTATCCTCCTCAGAACTTGGTACTCAAGTAAGTACACTTTAAATTGTCCTCTGCGGCGAAGATATGGCATGTCGCAGCCGTGTACTATGACGGACACCATGTCTTTGAGTAAACTCTGTCTAGGACACAAGCTGGACTAATTGCAATCCCACATTTAATTTTGAATGCCTATCAAATTAAAAAAGTCGTCAATCCAAAAAACAATTAATTGTTCCGAAATTTCGTCGAATGATGTAACGGCCGCGTATAATCGTATAATGGCACTCGTGTACTGAACTTGGTACCCCCACCTCCACCCCTACCGCCCACGCCCCTCCATCGCGGTATATATGCATGAATTTCGAGTTTCGTTGCGCCTGTGTATGACGTGAAGCAACGGAAACGAGAACAAACGAACATCTCGTACCGCCATTTGTAACCTTGCATAAAACACAGTATAACATCTCAGTATTTAGTATCTGTTCCTGAGACTGCATTCTGTGCCCACCATGTTGGTGAATTACAGTTTGCTCTTCTTAATGTTTTGTTATGTTATCTGCAAACGAGACCCGGCGTCAGAACAATTGAACAGCTACAAATTTTCAAACGTAAGTACAATGTTCTCACTTGTACAGTGGCTTAAAGCGCCGATTCTTAAATTTCTATTCTTGATATCCAAGATTCATTCAATCACATGTCTGGACTGTACACAATGTCAAAAATTAACTTGAAAAATATGCAAGTTACATGCTTATTATCTAGAGGAAGAACAAATAAACAGTGATCATTTATTACCTAGAGCATGAATGAATAAACAGTGATAACTTATTATCTAGAGCATGAATGAATAAGCAGTGAACACGATTTTCTAGAGCATGAATGAATAAACAGTGATAATAATTGTATCTGTTAAATGCACGTACTTGCTCATGATAGCCCACAACGACAACGCAGAAGATGAAAACTTAGTTACCCTTAGGAAGGTCCTTTGTTACCGGTACTCCTAGGGGTACTGTGGGTACCGGTACCACAAATTTAGGAATGCTGGTTCGAATTATTAAAATAAGAGGTCAGCTACATTCTAAATATATCTAGTTTACTTCCATATGTCGATAAAATGCTGTTAAAACCTGCATATATTTCGCTCGTACAAGACCGTTTACTAGGATATAATGTCGTGTAATGTGAGGAAACAACCGATGTTTCGGAGGAACATATCATTTCCATTTTCAGGAACGAAAACATAGGGGCTTTCCACCTGCTTCGAGCTGGTTTCTGGCTTAGCGTAATCCTCGACTTTTAACATGGAGGCGATATGTTCCTCCGAAACGTCTGTCGTTTCTTGCTGCAATATATGTCATTGCGTCCCACAAGATAGAATTTTTCATAGCCACTTCTGTGTAAGACCTCAACTCAAATATCTTAACGTTATAATCTCTTCCAGATTTCTAATGACGAGACATGAACACATTTAATTTGCAGAATCAGTCTCGAAGTTGCAACTTCTTTCCCTGCTCTTTGACTGTTTAACGAAGTTTTAGAGCAGTTAACTAGAAAATGTAACTCAGTGCTGCAATTACGTAAAATTATTTACAAGATAACGACCTTACAAGATCGAAACATTTCATAGAAGTAACATGTGTAAAAAATGACAACGTAACACACCAGCAGCCGGTCACGGTAGCCGAGCGGTCTAAGGCATGCACTGTCTTCGCTCGCTCGGAAGCCGGGATCGTGGGTTCGAATCCCACTCAGGGCATGGATGTTTAGTTTGTGTGTGTGTGTGCGTTTTTCTGTGTNAAAACAGCACAAACAAAATAAACGCACACACAGACATCCATATCTCGAGTGGGATTTGAACCCATGACCCCAGCTTTCGAGCGGGCGAAGACAGTTTGTTCTTAAAACTCGCGGCCACTGTGCTCGGCAGTGCAGCGGAGTCCTGACACATAATGACGTGAACATCCACTCCAATATGTATGCCTTTACTTAATTTTAGAGTCTCGAGGTTCCATCTTTAGAAAAAAAGATTACGGTTTGGTACGAGTCCTTTCTTCGCTGTCCAATAAAATTGCTCGTTTGGGAAACTTTGACTTTAAGCTATAATAGACAGTGCATGTTCGGTACAGATGCAATATAGGCCTACTCGTATATGATACGAGTACTGTCACGTGGTTGGGTCGCTTATAATATTTTCACGATTTAGGAGCGTGTGACTAGCCGGGTACTGATCGGTAAATGGATTTATTGACCACTTATACACACCATTCGGAACTACAAGTCATTGCATGGCCATTGCTGATCTCAAGGTTTTACAGATCACCACAGCACCCGATAAGAATTTTCCAGCGTTGTGTGTCTTAACCAGCCGTTCCCTGGTAACGTCTTCTAACAGTGGAGATTTTTCAGCTTCCTGCTTTCAGGTCCTCTTGTCCTCTTTCAGCTGTCCAACCAACTATAGCGCCATCTCTTCTCAGCTTTCCTCGCAGAGTGCAACTGGACTGCCAACCTTCTCAACCAATCGGATTGCTCCAGTTCTGTTCTTTATAAGCACTTTGCACGGACCACATCTAAAACATTGTTCTTTTATTGTTGCACGCTTATTCGTTTCCGCGGAAACTTGTTTGCCGGGACGTTGCTCAGTATTAGCCACTTGTTTTTTCACCCATTGCATAGTAACGGCTGTACTCGTTGTTTGCTTCTAGGTCTTTGCCTGTCAACGGGTCTGTACGCTATACTGTCGTCACATAAACAGTGTCCAATTCTTGGTACAAAGATTCGTCATTCATTGACGGAGATCGAAAATTTATTGTCAGTTGCGTAAATTTTATGCCATCGGATAACCTAATGATTCATTCATTCATCAGTAATCTGTCAGACGACAGGTCCACAATCTCTTCCAAAACAGTTCCTCCACTTAATGCGATCTTCTGTTTTTGGAAAGAGACTATCCAGGAAAAGTGATAATGTGGTAATGATTATGCAAGATGAATGGAAAACAAGTGAATGCAAGTGGCTGTATATTACCTTAGGGTCTTGGGCCGAAATTTTCTTTTGGGTCGAAAGAAATTAATTTCGGAAACCAGCAGTTGTAAGTACTTGGGTATAATTTTAGGTAGCGATTCAAGTTGGACTGATCAATTTAATTACACGGTGAAAGAAGCCTGGAAGGCACTTCATGTTACAGCGCGTATTCTTAATAGGGGTAATATTAACATTACAAGTTTAGCCTACACATCACTTGTACATCAGATTCTTGAATAAGGTGCGGCGTGCTGGGATCCTTACAGGAAGGGACAAATAAATGCACTAGAACGGGTGCAAAACATGGCGGCTAAATTTGCACATCATAGAAATGATCCAAATTGGGAAACCTTGACAGAGCGCAGAAAGATAGCTCGCATATGTGCTTTCTTCAAAGAGTACACGGGAGAACGGGCTTGGAAGGCTGTGGGCGATAGATTACAAAGCTATCTGAGCAAGGTCGACCATGATATGAAAATTAGGAGCAGAAAGCAAAAGACAAATGTCGGAAAATGTTCCTTTGTAAATATGACCATCCAGCTCTGGAACCACCTACCTGCAGATGCTTTAGGGGCTCTCTCCTGTAAATCAAGTAATTTTAGGAAAAGGGTTAGGAAAGTGATAAATAAGGCGAAGTGAAGGTGGGGTGGAAATCATCCGAAAGTGCAGTGCAGCGAAGTGAGGTGGTCTAGTGAATATCAAGGTCATTTTTATTAATATTAATTTAAGTAATTGTGGTTGTAGTTGTAATTGTATTTACATTTTATTCATTGTATTCTCAACCTTTATGGTTGTGCAGATTTGTGTGCTGCTTTTTGTTTGAGCGTGGTGTGTTATTTTGTGTGATGTGTGTGTTTGTGTGTTGTATCTTATTTTAGTACCGCTGCCACCGGGTAAGACCCCATTTGCAGTTACAGTAAATAATAATAAGAGAATTAAAGGAACCACTACAAACCTTTGGACAGGTGTGAGTAAGCAGAACCAGATTCGGACCTGGTGCCTATCAGGGCAGTGTTCCCGCTTGGTTCGGACTTGATGAATAACTTGTTTGAAGTTCCAGACATTAATGGATGACGAGAAATATTTTCATACGAATGGAATAATCTGCGCGTTAGTTGCGCTGTACTACAAGCCGGAAGGTCGCGGATTCAATTCCCGATAAGGTAATTGTCTTTTTTCAGTAGACCTAATCCTTCCAGGCGCACTATGGCCCTGCGGTCGACTCAGCCTCTAAAAGAAGTGTGTACCAGGAATCTTCCTGGGGATAAAGTGTGGCCGGAGCGTAAGGCTGACAAACTCACTACCACTGTCTGTGTGCCGATTGTCTAGAAAACGTGGGAACCTCGATGTCTCACAACCCCATGGGCCTCCACAGCCTGTTACAGGGATAGCTTTGCCTTTCATTGAGAGATCTGCGAAGTATTCTCAAATGAAGGAAGAACAATAGGACTCGCGATGCCCTGGCGTTAAAGGGAGGGTAATATTAATATGTACAGTAAAGGAATATTACTGTTCTGAACATAGTAATGAACCGTCTGGTGCCATATAAGAACCGAGCTTCTTGACCTGCGGAGTACTGTTAGCTTCATGAAAAGACTTTTGGTGGAAAGAAAGCACGTTCAGTGGAGAGCCTTCATTCCAATCGACAGCCTATTTGTTCATAATATTGTCACGTAATAGAGCGTGACTGTGGACGGGGTTTAGATTGAGAGATTTATTGGGCCTTTTACATACATCGCGTGACTACGCTTCACAATTTCATTCATTCATTATTGGACGGGGTGGGTTTCCCCATGCACCGCGAACATTTGTTGATCTATTGTACGTCCCCCTTTGATATTCTACTTTCAGCCCTTTCAGCCAGTGAGTTCGGCCCCTCTACTGGCAGTTGGTATCCGATACTTCCCCATCTACCGGAGGCATTGGGCGGGAAACATTTTACCTAATTTTGCTCAGAGGTCTCCTAGAGACACGGGACCCACGGCTTAAAGTCCCTCCCGGAGGACTTGTTCCCTGAATTTTTCCGTCCTTAAAAATACCACGATCTCCGCCGGGTTTGAACCCGCGTACCTTGAGTCATGAGGTGGGAACGGAGGCCGCTCTCTTCACAATTTACTGTTACACATACACACTAGTATCCACAGTCACGTCTTCATTAGCCCTTGCTTGGTAACTGCTTCCAACGGCGGACGTTCCCCTGCCTCAGCTACCAACTTCTCACAGCAACATTCATAAGGACTGAGACACAGGCAGTCCTACAACAAACTTACTAACTCCTGACTAACTGTCCAGTTATAACATCTTGGTACGGACCTCACAAAAACACATTTCCTGTTCTGTTGTTTACGGGCCGTTGCCTAGTAACGGCCGTCGTGTAGTTGTTCCGCAGTCGTTGCCTAGCAATGGGTCTACATGCCACAATATGAAGCTCAGTGAAATAAGGGCCTTTAAGTGCGAATGATTTCGAACTCTCTTACGTCTATTTGTCTTCTCTGTTTTCCTTTTTATTTCTTTCATTCTTTCTGTTTCTCCTTCGTCTTTGGATTACGTATGTCTCAATTAGCACAGTAAGCAGAGCTGAAAGACTAACGAACTGGGATTTTATTCCCGGCTGGGGCAAGACCACAGCGCCCAGATCGGTACTGGAGCCCAACCAAGCTCCAAACCCACTAGGTACCGGAGTCGCTTTAGTTGGGGTTGCAGTGGCCGGGGCGTGAAGCTAACCACTCACCTCCATATAATGCCGAGGTTAAAAATACATGGGGCTATAAGCTTCTCTCATTATCATAGTGGGGGGTGGGGGTGGAGTCCAGCTGGGTCCACTCGACACGTCGGCCACTTATTGGCCTATTGTACCTGCCCCGGCTGATTATGATGATGGAGAATTTGGTGGAATGAAGATTGGCAGGGGAAACCGAAGTGCTCGGAGAAAACCCGCCCCAGCGCCACTTCGTCCACCCCAAATCCCACTTAACCAGACCCAGGCTCGAACCCGGGCCGCCGCGGTGGGAAGCCCACGACTAACCGCTTGAGCTATGGCGCGGCCGGGCGATAAGCTTACTTCCACTCCACCCATACGTCTTCATACCGTGGTACTTAATTAAATGTTTTAGTTTGAAGAATGCATAAGTCACTAATTTCCGCATATTCGCAGGTTACGAATTCGTATTCATCAAAACGCCTACAGCAGGTCTGAAGATTGTACGACTCGAGTGTTCCGTCTGTTGGGCCGAACCAAGGAGCTGCATTGAGTAGTCCGACTGTGCAGGCTGAAGTGATATGTTTCTCACCGCTGGGAGAATCTAAAATCCCACAAGCTCAAGCAGTTTCTGAGAAATAAAATCTCAAATATTACTACGTGTTTGGCCCTTTAATCGGTCGTGTAATAGAGCGCGGTCACCTGAGAACAACCCGAAAATTGTTCGGCCGCTCAGGCATAAGAGACGGACGTCATCTGGGGGCTACTGATTGCACGCTCGATAAACCGAGAGTTTACACAAAGCATTTTTCTCCAGTTTCTCTCCAATAGAGTGTAGATCGTATCTACGTATTGTGGCATGTAAACCCGTTCTTAAGTAATGACGGCGAAAGAAAAAGCTATAAACGGCCGTTGCTGTGTAACGGCTTCGCAAACAAACATGTTTCCACGGCAACAATTGCACAGCAATAATGAGGCGGTGTTTCCTGTGCGATCCGTGCCGAGATGCTATAAGCAAGACAGCTGAGTTAGTTGGTTTGGCAGTCAGGGTGTGGAGGCGGTTTCGAATACCTCCACCGTGACCCTGCCAATCGTAGGAGGCGATGAAAAAGGAAGTCTCAAATTTGAGACAGTATAATATGGTCTCTAGTACCAAGGGACTCGGACCCGAGAAAGGCTGCGCTGGCAATGACTAGAAACATATACAAAAGACAGACACGTCCTCTCGTCAGAGAGGGCGCCCCACAAAAACAAGACTCTTAACTGTCAAAACACTAATGAATATCTGGCCATGATCCCCAGACGGGGTTCGACACCAAGACTTACTGACTGACTGACCATCAGTCACATTGTGACTTTGACTAGTTGATTTGGGAGCGACTAAGTTACTTAGTGAGTTAGTTGCAGAATCACTGATGTTCAGTCGTTGTGAGCTGTTGCTGTGAGAAGCTGGTAGGTAAGGCACGGGGACAGTTCGGGAACCCAGAGGAAGGGGAAAGTCCGCGGTTGGAAGCCGCTACCGAGAAACGGCTAGTGAAGAAGTGACCGTGGACACTATTGTGTGTGTAATAGTGACTTGTAAAGTGTAGACAGGCGCTGTATCAAAGAGTCCGATAAGTCCTTCTATAGTCACTCCATACAAGTGACAATATTGTAGATTAAATAAGCTACACGTCTTCTTCCACTTCGGTGAGCTACATACCGTAGACTTCAATGAGCTACAGACTTCAATGTGGTACAAGATTTTACTGCAGAAATCGTAGATTTGAACGAGTTACACGTCTTTGACTTAAATAAGCGACAGAGCTCAGACTCGAAAGAGCTATAGACCTTACAGTCAGTGAGGCGCGAACCGTAGACTTCATCGTAGACTGGAATGATTGATGGTGGCATAGTGACGGGAGAAAACAAGCCATAACAGCATGATGAAGCATTATGCAAGCTTGGGGATTCGTGCGTCTTCTACAGAAGGGTCCGTCTGGGTTGCAAATAATTACGCACAAACAGCGTCTGGGGAAATCCCCTGGCCGCCAATACGACGCTTGCTTTGTTGTACTTCCCCTGCCGTTCCCACGTCTTACTTTTCTTTTTCTTTTCATTGTTTCCGGATCTGTCTGTTTCACTTTTGTAGTTCTTTTTCTTATTTCGCCAACCCGCCCGCATGTCTTCTTTTGTTATTGCGTTTTAATACTATGTAGGGTATATACGTTGAAAATGTATTATGCACAGCGGTGAAAATGGTTTTTCAGAACTACATAGACGCTCCAGATCAATATAAAAACCCTGGATAATGGCCAACACATTATAACAACAAATTGTAACAATTCAGGCTCGCGAAATCTTCGTACATGTAATGATTTGCTTTGATGTCTATAACATGAATACTAGACAAAAATATAACTTCCACCTACCCTCATCAACTTTATCAGTATATCAAAAAGGAGTCTACTTTACTGGCATAAAAGTGTTCAACAATCTGCCACAAAGTATTAAAAACTTGGGCAATGATACTAAAAAGTTTAAATCAGAGTTAAAGAATTATCTACATGCTCATTCCTTCTACTCTTTAGATGAATACTTCAATGTAAATAGAGAATGATGTAAAATTAAGTTATATTAATTTTTAACCTAAATTGCCTGTACTTATGTATGTAACCTTTTGACATGTTCTGTATCCAAAGGTACTAACCTGCTTAGGATTTATAGAATGTAAATAAATTCAATTCAATTCAATTTAAAGCTGCGCGCGCAGCTGCTGTCTCACTCCCGTGCACCAGTCTCAGTCTGTCGCGCACTTCTGTTGTTTANTAGTCAGTTTGAATTAATAAAAATAAAATTGAACAAATGTACTTCAATTTTTGTTATTTTTTTGAGCTTATGAATTTAAAGCCTGTTATGGATCTTTTTTTTTCCAAATCGCTGCGCCCCCCCCCCTATTGTGTTGTTCAAGCCAATCAAATTGCTGCTCAGAAGACACTATGGCTTGCATCGTTGCATCCGCGGGTCAGAAGGAAAATGGCTTAAAGTTACCGTTGTTACGAAGGATCATTATTGCGTCTTAAGACAATTTAAACGATTCCTCTAAAATTAGCGTTCTAAAGTGAGTATACGTCGTCTGTCTGCGTGTGCCCCCATTTCCAGTTCAGACTATCTTAAGAAATTCCTGTCCCAATGTGAACCACGCAGTTCTTTCTCGGTTTTACTATTTCCAGAGACTGCACATGTCAGTGGCTCGCAGACGCTTTTAGTCTGAGGCTCTCTGGATACAAAGGTTTGAGTCCCCCCAGCCTTTGGAAGTGGCTCAGAGTATAATTCTTCAGCATCAGAAACGAATTACTAATGAGAGTTCGTGATAAGTGTGAAGTACTTTGTCGGTTAACTTATGTATTTATAATGTAATGTGGCTGGAAGGTCAGCCCTGCTCAATTTCCGCTTGTGTTTTCTGGCCTCTTATTTGGCCTACTCTTCAACCCCGAGCATGGACGGGATATGTTCCTCCGAAACGTCGGACTGTCTCCAAACTGCGCGGCGTTACAACCCAGAAGGCCGTACTCTTCATAATGTCATTCTGGTCTGCACATCTCAAATAGTAGCAGCAGTAAAAGCAGTAGTAGTAGTAGTAGTAGTAGTAGTAGTAGTAGAAGCAGTAGTAGCAGTAGCAGTGGTTGCAGTAGTGATGGTCGTAATAATTACGGTTACTTACTTCCTTATGGAGCTGGGCTCTTCTGGAGGAGCCGCCAATTCTGCAGCTACTCAAGAATTTCCCAGCATTTTATTGAACCCGAAGGTTAATTACCGTGTTCACAAGAACCCTCCGCTGGTCCCANTCATTCTAATTATACTTGGAGAAGAGTACAAGTTATGAAGCTCCTCATTGTGCAGTTTTCTCCAACCTCCTGTCACTTCATCTCTCTTTGGTCCAAATATTCTCCTCAGCACCCTGTTCTCAAACACCCTCAGTCTATGTTCCTCCCTTAATGTTATAGACAAAGTTTCACACCCATACAGCACCACAGACAAAATTATAGTTTTGTATATTCTAATTTTTATGTTTTTGGACAGCAGACGAGAAGACAAAAGGTTCTGGATTGAATGGTAGCAAGCATTACCCGAGTTCAATCTCCTCTTAATTTCCTCCTGAATCAGGTTTTGATTTGTTATCGTCGTTCCCAAATATCTGAACTTTGACACATTTTCAAAACATCTGTTTCCTATCTTTATGTCAGGATTTTACCCTGCATTTGGTGACGAGACAGCAACATATACTTAGTTCTTTGTGTTTACTTCTAGACCAACCTCCTTACTTTCGTCAATTAGTGTGTGCCTGGCCCGGGCTCCATTTCAGCTATTTCAGGCCCTGCATATGGATCTTTATGAGAATTTCGGGCTGACAGAGCTGGGCCCTACCCTCTGTCGGGAATTGACGTGTTTTTTATTCTTGCTGTTGCAGCATGGGAAGTCCCACATTATGACAGGTTATGGCGTGCCGGTCTACAGTAAGGATGCCAGCTTGACTGTTGGGCCCCGTGGCCCCATGCTCCTACAGGATGTCGAATTTCTGGATGAATTAGCTCACTTCGACCGTGAGCGTATACCCGAGAGAGTAGTTCATGCCAAGGGGGCAGGTGAGTTCAGAATTGAATGCCTCAATGTGTCTGGTTTCACAGTTGTTGAAGATGCATGCATTTCACGGGCACTGTAAGACACCGCGAAGCCTTAAGGTAGGATAAAGATGCGGCCCGCATATCATTTCCAAAAAGATATAAATGCATTTTGAGTCTGTGCATTTTGAAATGCCGAGGCATGCGGTATCATAGTTGGTTGAGGTTCTATACGACAAGCTGGAAGTTAGCGGGTTCGATTCCCGATGAAGTTGTTGGATTTTTAATTATACCTAATCCTTCCAGCCGCAGTATGACCATGCGGTCGACTCAGCCTCTAACAGAAATGAGTACCGGGAATCTTCTTAAGAGGTAAAAGGCGGCAGGCGCATAAGACTGACAACCTCACCGCCATCTATGAACCGATTGTCCAGAAAATGTATGAGCCCCGTCGTCTCACAACCCTGTGGGCCTCCACATCCTGTTACGGGGATTGCTTTACTTTTTATGTGGAAATGCACAAACACGTTGCTTGGAAACAACAAACAACTGAACTGCTTGGTGCATTGCCACCACCCATTTTGCTTTCGCTTGTGTCAGTTGCTCCCATGCGTGATGTTATCTATTGTGTGATTCTATTCTGGCTAAATGAAGTCAGCCCTTTGTTATTCTTCCAAGTTTTGTAGCTGAATGTTGTGATGTCTGTTGTGTGGTTTTGCTTCTCAGTATTTAGAGCCTCCTGACATTGCGAGACCCTGACTACTTTGTACGTAGAACAGTTAAGCGATCTTCGCACAAAGCATATAAAAGGGAATGCAACTTATAACTAAGAGACTTTATCTCTCCACTGTCTGGCCACGTATTTTTTGTCTTCTGATCTGGTCGACAAATTTTTATGAAACTTTTGGTCTACATTAAAGGTTGTCATTATTCCATATGCTAAGGGTATATCCGGCCGGTCACGGTAGCCGAGCGGTCTAAGGCATGCACTGTCTTCGCTCGCTCGGAAGCCGGGATCGTGGGTTCGAATCTGTTTCCTGTGAGGTACGAACTGAATTCTTATATATTATTCTTATACACTGCCGGTCACAGTAGCCGAGCGGTCTAAGGCATGCACTGTCTTCGCTCGCTCGGAAGCCGGGATCGTGGGTTCGAATCCCACTCAGGGCATGGATGTTTGTGTGCGTTTTTCTGTGTTTGTCTACAGGTATAGGCCTTGTGACGAGCTGATCACTCGCCCAAGGAGTTCTACCGAATGTCTAAGATCTAGAAAAACCGAAGTGAACGGAGAAGTTCACGGAGGTAGGCCTAGGCCCACTGAGACTGTAGTGCCAAGGAAAAAAAAAGGGTATATCCGAGAAATTCAGACCCATTAGAAACCGTTTCGATGTCAAGACCATATTCAAAACTAAACGTACACTCCGTGGGACATTGATGTCCGGAGATAGCGACTAGCTCTATCGATTGGACCCAACTGAGTAGGATTTACCTGAAGATGGAAACAGAATCCAGTCTCCGAAACCTTGTGTTTCTAAATAAAAAGAGGGGGATGATTAATGTCCAGAAACTTGTCAGTTGCTTTCGTATAGATATAGCGACATAACCCTTATGTTTTATGGGCCTGAAATCCAACTTTAATTTTCTCACAACCGGTTTAGCTTAAAAAAATGTGACCTCGACAGTGACAAGTATATCTCGCCAAGCTATACATCTGTCATTACAATGTTTGTTTTAATGCGGTCAGTACTAATGAACAATGCAGAAACTGTTCTAGCGTACGTAAATCAAGTTTTCTTTCCTTCAATTTTCTTCCTGTGGTACATAAATACGGTACGCTTCAGGCAGCGCCTATCTCGCAGCTATTTACCGTTATAATTTCAAGAATCTTTGAACATGGTATATATTCACTGAAATATTGATTTCAAACTAAGTGCTCTGAAAATTTTGTGGACTATGCTTTTCCACTTTCATGAACTACATCCGTATGCCATGGAATATGAGAAAGTTTCGGAGCATTAATGCATCGCATCCTGGATGTCTCGAGTTCGAGTCTCGTAGTGGAGACCAGACTTTTCATTATTCTCCTTAGTCCTTCCAGGTTATTTGTAGAACCGTATCTTAAAATACCGGAGCTCTTCTGAACTTAGAAATAAGAGAAAGAAATTGTTGGTCCTTCTGCAGAACGGACCCCAAATCATCTTATTCACAGGCCCTCACTTCGCTGACATGGACTACGAAAGCTGTACACCTTGCAGTAAATGTAAACTAATGGGCCCTTCTTGAAGCTCAGAGCTGCTCAACTAGCTAAGAAATATCAAGAAGATTATGATATCAGAAACGTCGTTATGATGTTCACAAAGGCACACCACTGAACCATGACTGAACCACGTGAATTTTGTCCACACCCTCCTCAGACCCCACTGCCGGAAGATCCATTCTGATGCTATTTCCTATAAGATCTGTAGCGTATAGACCCGTGGCTGGGTGACGCGAACACATTCCCGCGGAAACGGTTAGCATACGAGAAAGAACGGTGTTGCCTACGCGGTCCGTACCGATCAGTTATAAGGAAGACATCTAGCGTAACCAAGAGGGTAACGGCGTGTGAACCCCCTCCACCGAAGCCCTGCGAGTCGTAGGAGGCGACGAATAAAGAACTCAGTACCTGGGTGTGTAACTAGACTACCATGTTCTTGAGGGATATAAATACGGGCACCTGGCCCTCCAGGTTGAGGGAGTCTCGAATCTGAGGCAGTAAAATGTGGTTATGAGTCGCGTGGGACTCGCATATGAGAATGACTGCCCTGGTGAGTACCAGTAGAAATTTTAAATGAGAGACCCATCCTCTCCTCAGAGAGGGTGTTACATAGGGACTACGACTAGTGTGTTCAGTTGAAGAAAAATACTGTTCATGAGTCTCAAGGAGCTTGGCACAAAGACGAACTGATTGGCGATAAACAGCCAGTCGTGAAATTACTGTAACCAAGTCAGTTCTGTACGGGAATCTGTGAAGAAAGAGTCAGTTGTAATGGAGTCAACATTCAGCGAGGACTTGAGCTTGGAACCTGTTAGGAGCCGTTACTAGGGAACGACTGGTGAAAAGACTTAGAGGGTGCTGTGTTAATTTGTGAATCATAGAGATTAGCGGTGGCGCTGTAAATGGTTGTACTTACGAGTCATGTGTATAGGTGGGCAATAAATTCGTGCACCAATCCAAATATGGTCACATAGTGTATTTGACCATATTATTTACACATATGTGTACGAGTCTTCCAAGCGGTCTCTTTCCCTCAAACATACAGGCCAAATTTTTGTACGCACTTCAACTCTCTCATGTGTGCTGCAATCCCCACCCTTCTCATCCCCCTTAATTTCACAACCTTATAGTATTATGTGAATAGTACAAATTATTGAGCTCTTTATTGTGTATATTTTCCACGATCCTCTTGCTTCCTCTCTTAGAAGAAAATTTTCTCCTCGATACCCTGTTCTCAGATAGTCTCAATATTTGATATTCGCTTACGTTGAGTGACATAGTTTCGACCGCTTGTAAAAGAAACAAAGGATGGAATGGACAGAGCATGTAGCATGAATAGGGTTGAAGAGGAATGCATGCAACATATTTGTGGGAAAGCCAGAAGGAAAGAGACTACTATGAAGACCAAGACGTAGGTGGGTGGGTAATGCTAAAACAGCCTTAGAGAGATAGGATGGGTTGGTATGGATTGGATTGATCTGGCTTAGTATAGGGACCTGTGGACAGCTGTTTTGAACACGGTAATAAATCTTCTGGTCCCATGAAATGCTGGGTAATTCTTTACTTGTGGCAACTGGTGGCTTCTCGAGCAGTGCTCAGCTCTATGAAGTTTGTTAGTTAGTTAGTTAGTTAGTTAGTTAGTTATAAAAGAAACAAAATCATAGTTCTGTATATTATAGTTCTTTCAATATCGGAGTGAAGACGGACTGAGATGAAACATTCCTTGAACTTAATCTACATTTCCGTGTAGTCACAAACTAATTCACAAATTTAGTTGAAATTCGACGTGAAATTGTCAAGCAGTTCCCACTTCCGGACTTCTTTAAGGCGCATTGAAGGCCATGCATGGGCTTTGATGAACGGATTGTACTAAGATTGGTGAACTGAAAGAATATTATGCGGAATTTTGTGTACTAACGGGTTCTAGTTGGGATGATTGGATTTATTAGCACTTTGGTTATAAGTTCTCTTAATGACACTTAAATACAGAGTTATGACTGATTTACACGCTTTCCAGTTCACTGTTGCACACGCACTAGGATTCTCCGTTTTCACTAGTCGTCTCCTGGCAACGGATCTCCACACTAAAACTATCATTTCAAATCACTGTGAAGTTTTCTTGCTATTTCGTCTTCAACCCCTCTGGAACCTTGGAACTAAAAATTCTTCTGGACTCACTCTTCCAGCTTACGACAGACTCGTAAGTGCCCCTGAACTAATTCTGTCACTGCAATCACTTCTCTTATAAGCACTCTGCACAGACCCCAAGGAAATCGCCGTATCTATTTTTGGTGACGTCACCGCTTACTCGGAAATGTGTTTACCGAGCCGTTGCTTAGAAATGGTTTGCATAACCCTGTTGTTCCATCGCTGCTCGGCGCGGACGACATAGAAAACACAGCCTCATCTATTGTTACGTTACCTAGCAATTTCCTGTTTACCAAGAATTTGTCTTCGCGAGAACTTCTTTATCAAAACGCTGCCTAAGAATGGATGTACATGTAACAGGTTTGTAACACACACACATATGTATATTACGTATATATACACACATATACATAGTGTATGGGGCAATATCTTTGGTCACCCGAAATATCTCACTCATTTTTTATGTCATCAATAAAACTGTTTCAGACAAAACTTGCATAGTAGCAAAGAGCACATAATAATACGCCGATAATTTTTTTTGTAAGCTGTTGCGTTATGGAGATATCAGGGTCACCTTGGATTCTGTAAATTACATTCTACATTTTTTCACACCTAGCACTGTACAGAAGACAGAGACGAATTGAGCTACGTGCTCTGTTGCACTAGGTCAGTCAAGATCACAAAAAATAACTACAAGAACTTAGGCTTCTATACTTTTTTTTCCTCAAGCACCAAGTGGTAACCCTCAGCAGCAATAGAAAGCTGTAATCATTCAAAGTAAAACCCAGATATATTTCAGGTGGCAAAATTTATTGCCCCATGCTGTTTGCATGATTGTTTATGCTTTATTTATTTATGTATTTAATGCTTAAAGATGGGTGAAAAAACGCATTAAGAAATTACAAATTTACAGGCCAAATAGCAAGGAAAGGACAAAGGTAGAACTAGAGAGAGGATTTTGACGCTGGAACAGGCATTTTATTATTAGTGTTACGAATACTCCATCCATTACTACTAATAATAATAATCCTGTTGCCTTGTGTCTCTGCTGAATTGAATAACAATAGTTGGTTTTCCCATAGGAGCTTTTGGCTACTTTGAAGTGACCAATGATATCACTCGGTATACAAAGTCCACTGTTTTTGAAAACGTTGGCAAACGGAGCCCAATTGCAGTGCGGTTCTCAACTGTTAGTGGGGAGAGTGGTTCTGCTGATACGATCAGGTAAGTGAGAACCGTATCACGTAGCAACTCCGTGTTTAATAAGATGTGTGTTCTAGGATAGTCTCACGGCTTGAACTCTTTGGTTATGAGATGCTCATTGTAGGAAACTGTTCAGTGATCCCACTTCAAACTTTGCTTAAACCCCTCAACCTTATCAAACTCACGTGCTTTAATAGGGGCGTTCAAAAATAATTGACACTAAATGTTTTTTCTTCACAGTAACCATTTATTGGAACAAAATACATACAGATTATATTGTAGGTATTCCCCGCCAATGTCTGTGCACCTTTGCCATTGTTCTGGCAGTTTCTGCATATGCACAGCAAATCGTTCTTTGGGGGGTATCCCGGCGCCACTGCTGGACAACTGCCTGAAGCTCGTCGGTGGAAGTTAAGGTCTTACCCCGAATTACTTGGTGCTGCTTCCCCCACACACGGCTGCTAACCTCTTGTGAATGTGCGAAACAGCCACTCCTTTCCTCCAGAGAAACCACACAGTCCACCGTTGCCCGTGATTGTCTGCCTCCATTTTGTCTGAGCGCTGTCCATGACTGCACCTGCACACCGCCATGAATGACGCAACACTGTTCGACCTGTGCGCAGTAGCAACGTCATCTCGTGGCCATAGGCGGCACTATAGTATGTCTTACCATATACACCGGCTCGCATTTGACGCTGCTACTTTTCCGGAGTTATAGAGGGAATATCAATCATTTTTGAACGACCTAAATAAATCATCATTGTAGAGAATTATGTATGAGATAAATATTATCGTAGCCTTCTTGTATTGTTGTCTGAATTTATGCTGGCGCCATTTTTATCCGTTGAAAGGAATTCTGATCTATTTGTGTAGCGTGACTTTGAATGAAATTCTGACTGAAATCAGAATGATTTAATGCTATGACACAAGAGAAAATATTGCTTAAATTCTTGTATAACTTGTCACAAATAATTATGCAGTAGAGATATAGAAAGTAAATTTGCACAAGAACAGTTACAGTTGGCAACTTAAGGTAAACCGAGATTGTGTTTTGTTTAATGTCCTGAGTTTAACTTCATTTAAAGGTTCAAATACATATGATTTTCAATAAACTTCCAATACCCTGCCATTATTCATTTATTTTGTAGCAATGGACTAATTTCCCAATATAATTAGTATTGTTTTTAATGCTAGTGGGGTGGGACTAAGTCCCTTGTACTGCGGCCAATTCTGGCCTATTGTACCAGCCCCAGATGATAGGTGAGGGTGATTGTGGAGCAATTGGTGGAATGAAGATTGGCAGGGGAAACCGAAGTACTCGGAGAAAACCTTCCCCAACGCCACTTTGTCCACCACAAATCCCACTTGACCAGACCCGAGATCGAACCCGGGCCGCCGCGGCGCGAAGCCAACGACTAACCGCTTGAGCTATGGAGCGGCCACAATTAATACTTACTCACACATGTCACTCATTTAACAGGACTAATAATAAGACATAGTTTAATTTTATGTGGGTTGTGGCACTGTCAGTAGATAGAAAAACTATCATTGAGTAATAAGAGAATAATTGCATGATGAATTGGGAACATTTGGAAGTGAATGGCCACGGTCCAATCGACAGTCAGTCCAAGCACTGACCAATAGAAACTCTGTGTGTGCGCGCGCACGCATTCTTCGCAATATTTCACGACTTCGTTTCATAATTTCAGGGGGTCATTTCTGTTTTCATAATGAGTGAAATTTTTTACATCATAAGTATGCTTTTCAGCTTTTGCATTGTTCTAGTTGGTTATTAATCTTTGTCAAGGGATCCTAGAGGCTTTGCAATAAAGTTCTACACAGATGATGGCATATGGGACCTGGTGGGTAACAATACCCCTATTTTCTTCGTCCGGGACCCGCTGATGTTCCCACTGTTTATTCACTCCCAGAAGAGGAACCCTGTTACACACCTGAAGGTAGTTGCACTATTTACATTAGCTTTTTGGGACTCTAATTGCTGTGGCAGGTTTCAGGTTCACAGGGTCCTCTGCAGAAAGGCATTTTGGTACCCTGTACGGTGTAGCTGAAATAATTTTTGCATGTGTGAAAACATATCTTCAAACCATTACTCAAAACGTAAAAATTGCAATTATAGGAACATACAACTAGCTAATTGCATGGAGCTGAGTCCTTCTTGAAAAGCTGCCAGTTGCGCAGCTACTCAAGAATTTCCCAACATTTTATGGAACCCAATGGTTAACTACTTTGTCCACAAGAGCCCTCCAATGGCCCCTATCCTAAGCCAGATCAGTTTAATTCATACAACCCCCTTTTATCTGTATTAAAATCCATTTTAATATTATCCGCTCACCTACATCTTGATCTTTCTAGTTGTCTATTTCTTTCTGGCTTTCCCACCAATGTCCCATATGCATTCCTCTTCTACACCATTCGTGCTACATGCCCTGTCCTTCTCGTCCTCCTTGACTTGATCATTCTAATTATACTTGGAGAAGAGTACAAGTTATGAAGCTCCTCATTATGCAGTTTTCTCCAATCTCCTGTCACTTTATCTCTATTCGATCCAAATACAACCAAGTTTCACACCCACAGAGAACCACAGGCAAAATTATAGTTTTTAGACAGCAGAGAAGACAAAAGGTTCTGGGCTGAATGGTAGCAAGCATTACCTGAATCCAGTCTCCTCTCAATTTCCTCTTGAATGTTGACCTCTATAACTTAGGATAAGTAGTAACTAAGTATATACAGAATTTTGTCAATTAGAAGGTCAGTTTTGAGCGTTACTATAATGTCTTGTGCCCACCACTCTGTGTTTCTTGCACTTCGTCTGGTGCATGCCACCTAATTTGGAATCCACAGCATTAAACAATATAGTGTATCAATGGTAAAACATATAAGTTAGTAGAGCAATTTGGGAACCCCTCGGAAGTCGGGGCCCTAAGTTGCTACTTAGTTCCGCGTACCAGTTAATCTGCCTCTGTTTAATTGGAGTAACAGGTGTAAATAGAAAATGTGTTTACACTTAACAAGAGTAATGCATTATTTGCTTAAGTACTGATGTGTCAACCCACAAATTTGATAATGAAAAGCTAGCCCATACTGAAGGGATTTCGGTTGTATAAGGTGGAGCAGAAGAAACGCATGTTCTTCAAATAGCTATTACTCGGCAAGGATGGGGTTGATGACCTTGGGCGTAAGCCGGCAGACATCACAGACAATGCAATTTCAGTAGCCATGGCCCGTTGGCATGTTGAGCGTCGTGTGTTTGCTGTTGAAGATTTTTTTTTAGAAACAGCGATTCCGTAGTTACTGCCCAACGTCTTTCCGTCGAAAGTTCAATGTTGAGCGTCGAGGAAAAATTCCAGATCGTAGCAATATACTCCGATGTGTTGAAGCATTTAGAACTACTGGATCTGTCATGAAGAGTTCCAACAGGATGGTGCCACAGCTCACACGGCGAGAGCAGCGATGGAAGTTGTTCGATGCATGTTCCCCCAACATGTGATCTCCCGTTTCGGTGATGTTTCTTGGCACCGCGCTCCCCTGATCTATCGGTTTGTGACTATTTTTTTTTTGTGGGGATACCTCACGGCAAGAGTGTACATGAATAGACCACGAACGACCCAAAAGCTGAAACTTTCCATTCGTCAAGAAATCGCAGCTGTGCCGGAAGACATGTTGTAAAATGCGATGCAGAATTTTGAGGAGAGGCTCCAAATGTGTGTCCAGTAAGAAGGAAGTCATGTGACTGACATTATTTTCCTTACGTAATGTGAGTTAAAAATGCATTAAAATCCTTATTTCTTATTTAATTAAAAAGGTTTTATCTTGAAAATCAACAAAGTTGTTCTTAAATGAAAAACATGTGTTTCCTCTGCTCCACTCTGTATGTAGAATTAGAGCCAACAATGAAAATTTCAAAGTATGCATTCTGTTGTGCGTCTTAACATACTTTCCAATGGGGCAGTCAGTACAACAATAATACTGAACAAGACAAAATAGGTTCTATCATATCAGCAGTTGTTTAATATGCAGTTCTTATTGCGACATGTTTTGACTGTATTTTAATTATGCAAATAAAGTTACAAGTTGAGATTATAAATATGTTTTATTTTTAGAGTTTTAATAATTTCATCTCCATTAAAATATGGATCCATATTTAATGCTTTGACACAGTTCATGGACTTACGCTATTGGTTGTATACTGCCTGAGGATGACTGAAAAAGGAAGGTTGACACATGTCGCAATAAGAACTGCACAATAAAAAAAATGTTGATACTGTCACGTGTAGGTGGGTACGCGTGACGAAATGATGGGTTCTAGTTCGGATGATTGGATTTAGTAACAGCTTGGTTACACGCACTCTCTCAATTACACTCAAATTACAGCTCTATCGCTGATTTACATACACCTCATAATCCACTGTTGCACACACCGTCGCAGACATGAAGTCATCTAAATCAAAATTGACATCCTCACAGGCAACATTCTGTATTCCTTGATCCGCTTCGCTTGCTTCTGCGACTCTCAACTGCTCGTAACTCATACTCATACTGAATACTGGCTGAAGTCAAAGTCCAAGTCACATTGCGTCTGACGGTCAGTCAGTCAGTAAATCTTGGTGTCGAGCCCCATCTAGGGCTCGTGACCAGATATTTATTACTGTTTGACATTTACGGTCTTGTTTTTGTGGGGCGCCCTCTCTGATGAGAGGACGGGTCTGCCTTTTGTATATGCTGCTGGACCTTGCCAGTGCAGTCTTTCTCGGGTCTGAGTCCATTGGGACTCACGACAATATTTTACTGTCTCAGATTTGAGACTTCCCTTTTTGTTGCCTCCTACGACTAGCAGGGTCATGGTGGAGGTATTCGACCCCGCCTCCACACGGGGGTACTAGCTGAATAGTGTTCACTGTTCTTTATATAGGCTCGGCACGGACCATATAGTAAACACATTTCTGGTTGGCAACAGATATCAGATATTATTGACAGGCGTACTTACGGAGCCTAGCAACACGCCGATACAATCCGCAACTCATATTCTGGTAGATAGTTACCAATATTTCAGAGGAATCTACTGTCTCCATCTACCTTTACCTTGAAGATGGAGACAGCAGGTTCCTCCAAAACATTGGTAACAGCCTAGCAGACTACATAATGTCATATCGTGAAATGTGTTAATTCTTGATATTAAAGTTTGTATCCAAATCATATGAGTGTTCTGTCACAGAGGAACTTGACTGTTATTACTGTCAAGTGTGAAGGGCATCATTTCACGTGTTCATGCTCCAGCACTAAAATACATATAATCGGCAATATTTTCACTGTTTGTGATGCTGTGGTGACTAGGATGCAGACATGTTCTGGGATTTCATCTCTCTACGCCCTGAAACTACACACCAAGTGATGATTCTCTTCTCTGACCGTGGAATTCCAGATGGATATCGGCACATGCATGGTTATGGCTCTCACACGTTCAAGATGGTCAATGCTAGCAATGAAGCTGTGTACGTAAAATTTCACTACAAGGTAAATGGAAGATGGTTACTTAATTGGTTTACTGATGGACACATTGATTACATCATTACATTTCTGTGTCAGAAATGTATGCTAAAAAAATCAAATATCATGTTTGAATGGTTATCACTACATCATTGAATTAGGTAGGTCTCAGGTTTGATTTTCAGACTGAGGCTTTTACTGTTGTCTTCACATCCTCCAGTTTTATCATAAAATGTACTTCAACCATGTCCTTCCACATCCTTCCCATGTCAATATTCATGATCATTCTTTCATTAAATTTTATATGAACCATACAGTTGAGAATGCTTTGATCGTCAAAATAAATCAGTGTTTGACTAAAAGAAGCTGGTAGCAGTTGAGAGGTCATGTTGCATTCACTCTTCTTGTTTACTTTAAGGCTCTCTTATTTGAATCTGAGAGAAGAATGATTTCTCTGTCTAGGACTTTTCTTAATTGTCCCCAGCCCTTATACATGTATATTAATGTTACAATGATACCTTTATTACATGTAGGACAGTTATAACTATGTACTGATTGATTTCAATTGTAATAATACACGTATTTAAACAGCTGCAGTACGTTATGAAAATACAGTTTAGGAACGAAATCTTAAAATATTTTTAACCTTTTGCACACCATGAGCAGTTTAGTTCAGTTCAGTGTACTTGCATTAAAACTGCCGCAGCTGAGGAGACTGACACGTTGTTAATCAGATAATACAGCCTTTCTGTCGATAGATGGCATTGAGCGTAACATACCCGTATTGAAGGGAAAGAAACAGACTTTTACATGACCTATACATGTGGTAATTTGAAGGTCTTTTGAGGAAGTATTGTTGGATTTTATCCATATATCCCTTAGCAGCCTTGGTATTTCTAACTGGTGGATCTCTTAGAGTGGGGGGCTTGGAAGTCAAAGGGTCAGGTCAGTGTTTCCCTGAAACGGGAAAATGTTGGTCACAACCACTTGTTCTCTGATCTCTCATGAATATTTCCTGTCATTCTAACATGGCTTGTATAACACTCTATAATCTCAGATTTGAGTGTCCGGAGTAACAATAAGGCTGACTTCACCAGCACTTGCAAACTTCAGCGCGTAATGCCATTCTCCCACTCCCATGTACTCTGCTATTGACACCAATAAATGGGCTATAATTTCCTATTTTTAAATGGCTATAAAATTCATGTCATTTAGCGTATTTAAGTACTTATTGTTCTTAACATGTTGTGTGTTGGATACGTGATTTCAGCGCAGACATAACCTACAAAACATGAGAATTATTATGCTTTGCATAGAGCACCCTTTCATGACAGTTACCATACTTTCAGTGTACTTTTATATGTTCTGTTTTGTGGTTTGAATGTACAGTCTAGGCACTAGAGATTATTTCAAATTTAATTTTCATATGTTGGCATGCCATTATGTTGTCCCCTCTATCATGTATCACTATCAGTTGACATCATTTCTGAGAAACAAGGCAGGCTTGTTCATAACTGTATTCTGCATAACTGTCTGATCCTCCTAGTAAGAATGATGGTGCATAGATTAGTGTTACCCTAGTGTTAAAAATCAAGTGATAGTGTCATAATTGACACTAAATTGAGATGTTAACGAAGGCCCTACAAATGGTCATTTCTGATAGTGATTCTAGACAGAGTGAATATGATACCAGTATTGAAACTAGTATTACAAATAATGTGGTTGGAGATAGCAGGAACAATTGGACAAATGATGTCATTCCTTAAAATTTAGAGCTATCTGAAGGAAATCCAGACATTAATGTAATTCAAAAGACACAAAAAATGTAGAATAAATTACAAATGTGATTACCAGTGATGATTTTTGTGATACTTGAAGAAGCGAACTGGTATGGTTCATTCAATCGTTTGCCCGATATGCAACAAGATTTACTACTCAGGTTAAGAGAATGCATGTAGTTCATGCATGATGGTGCTCCATCACGTTTCAACTGTGTTGCACGAGAATAATACATTTCATAAGTGGTGGATAGGTAGCGGAGGACCTACTGTGTGACTCGCACATTCGCTTCATATCAGTCTTTTTAATTTCTACCTGTAGTAGCACTTAAAAGGCCTTTTGTATTGAGCTCCCATTCACAACACTTCACCAGTGCAGTGTGAATGCCTGTCAGACTATCTGCAACTACTCTGGGATCTTTGAATAAGTTAAATTGTCCATGATAAAATGCACCTAAATATGAATTAAGTCATATGGAGGGCATTTTGAGCATTTCTTGCAAAATGCATCCTTTTAGTGCTGTAACTCGAAAAGGAAGCATTTGTGGATTATCATTTATATGAATTTGTTTTCACATTTTGTTATGTGCTGCTCATCCCAAAAGTTTGTCGATACATTTCAGATTTGTCTTGTATACTGATTTCTTCTACACACACACACACACACACACACACACACACACACACAGAACAAAAGAAGATTTTAATAATTTCCTGAATACACAATTGCATGTAAATGTTATCATATCTATGTTTATGTATTTTGAAAGTTTCACTGTTTCACTTGAGGCTTGCATCTCAACTGAGCAAGAAGGCATGCAAAATAAACATAACACAACATGCACAAACTGCACACTGGAAAGCATTTTCATCATTGTTTACTGTACATAGTTTCCTTCTTTATGTATTGTTGTCCACACCTCTGCTCTCATTTTTATATCTTCCCTCACTTGTTCTCCCCACCTGGTCCTCCAAAATATTGAACTCCTTGTCAGAAACTTGTCTGACAGGTCTGAGCTGCTGGCTCTGCAACTGTGGGTTTGAAGATGTTCAACGATTCTGAAAGTGATGGTTATAGGGACTCTGATGAAATTGAAGATTCAGTAAGTCAGAAGTGCATATCAAATTGCTCTCTATAACAGACAATATTTCAGAAGGGATTTAAAAGTAAAGAAAATTGTATGATTCTGAAGTTAATGAAGTTAGTGCTGTAATTAATATCTATTTCATGATGATAGTAATATTAATATGAAAGCTGGTAACAACAATACACAAATATGCACAGCAATTATTTTAATGAATGTTTTTGTTTGCTGATGTTTCTAGACAAACCAAGGTATTCGGAACTTATTTGCAGAAGAAGCTGCAAGTCTTACAGCCAGAGATCCAGATTATGGGATACATGATTTACACAATGCCATTGCAGATGGTAATTTCCCTAGTTGGACACTCTACATCCAGGTCATGACTTTCGAAGAAGCTGAGAGGTTTCGTTGGAACCCTTTTGATCTCACCAAGGTAAGACTATTGAGTGCTGAGCTATTTAATGACACTGCTTTTAGTGCAGAAATCATATGTCATCAAATGAGAAAGAAGAAATAGGATCCCAGTGCTTCCCAGAAGAAACTAAGTAAAACCACATTAAGCCTTAATTAGACTAATCAGAAACCCTGATGAGATCAAAACTTGCACATAGTCCAGTCAGAAAAGTGACTAATTGCAGGCTGGGTGACTACTGTGTGCTGTTAACATTGAGACCAGCCCTGAAGCCCACTGAACTTCCAAGATACTGGGTACTAGGAGCTCTTCCGATAGGAATAAGGTGGGTATGGCGTGAATCTGTTCATTTTCTTCCTGTACTTCATAGAAGTGCAATGAGCTTTACATCTACTCTCCCACATGTCTTCACTGTGTGGTGTTTAAGCTCTGGAAAAACTGTATCATGCTTCCAAATTGCTTATACACATATACTGAAGTGATTGAGACTAGCTCTTTCTAAGGGACCCAACAGAGTAGGTGTCTTCCCTCACCTGAGGACGGAAACAGATCTAGTTTCCGAAACGTTGTTTTTTTCTTTTCTTAGTTATTTAGAATCCGGATGATGGATAAAGTCCGAAAACCCAGTATCCCTTATTTTAGTGTTCCACATTTCATAAAATGACACAGTTGCATTTCCAGTTCTTGTCTTGAGTTTGCTTTTCATCTTTAAACATGTATTTAAAAGTTGCAAGACTGTCACTAAATCATAACATGGAAATGATGTTTAAGAGGGACTGAATCAGCTAAACCTTCTTGCAAAGGAATATACTCATAGTTGGAAATTAATGTAGACATATAGTTGACTATGATGATTTCAAAAACCCAAGACATTATCGTCAAAATATAAGGTTACCATTTTAAGGGTGAATTAAATGGCAACATGTAATTATGAAGCTGATAAAATTTGTACAGTTACTTTAATTTTCAACCCGATGAAGTCAGAAAAAAAGCATGTACAGCTTGGTACAGAGATATAAGCCAGGAACTACATCACAAATACTGCATCAAGCAACCTATGCTTCTCTTGTGCCAAGTGAAAAGCACAGTAAAAACAATCATACATCATTATTTGAAGGGAAAGAAGGTATAGGTCTGCTTGGACCAATAATCTTCAACACTGTTTCTTGGTCGTGGATGTTCTGGATTGTAAGGAATGGAAAATTATACATACCTTCCAGTTTTATATCTTCCATAGCAGAGGCAGTAAGTCTGGCCTGATCTGCCATGTGCTGATGATAGAAGTAATGGTATGTTTCCTCTGAAAGTCTTAAGAAATACTTGTTCAAGCAGCAAGGTGAAGAACTAAAGCAATTGTGAATTTTTATCTAAATGTGGGCAAGTTCTTTTGTTCAGTTCACTTCATTCCCCACAAATTGATGTGGACACGTTTTGACAACACAGACTTCACCTCTCCATTCCTGTTCATCATCAGTCACTCTTTTATTCTGCTGCTGCTAGTTATAGTAATTACTACAATCATGATGATAATTGTGATGATAATAATAAAGTGGGCATAAATATGTCCATGTCTTTTTTTGTTTCTTTTATTTCTTTCTGTTTTCTCTTCCTGTTACTGTAAATTTTGTTCCTGTCCCAAGGTGTGGCCCCATGCTGAGTATCCACTGATACCTGTTGGCAAGTTGGTTTTGAACCGAAATCCAGCTAACTACTTTGCAGAAGTGGAGCAAATGGGTTTCAATCCAGCCCACATGATCCCAGGCATTGAACCCAGTCCAGACAAAATGCTACAGGTATGCAATTTCATGCGAGGTCACATAGACTCACAAGATGTATGTGTAATATTGTTTGTGTTCATGAATATATTGCCTTTACACGTAATGCTATGCTGATATTCACTGTCAGCTATTGCTGATGCTTGTTACCGCATGTAACATTTCTTTCCGATTCCATGATATTATTAACATACTCGTGTACTGTTACATGTTCTTTTCTTTCAGTCAGATGATAAACCCTGTTAAGAACTTGAAATAATCAGTATTTTCAGTTATAGAATGAGTGTCAGGGCTCAGAATTATGGACATATTAGTTTATTTCTTGTTTTGAAGGAATGAATGAAATAATGAATAAGGGATGGACTTTGATCAGCCCTTGCAGAGCTACCATCATGATCTTTTGTACATCCCCCTCTGTTTGAAGTGAACTCAGTAAGAAATCAGTTATTGCTTTCATTAATTAATCTTGTCACTTTCAAATTTACAGTTCACTTGTTTCTGCAGTGTGTGCATATTCTTGAATTCTTAGATTGTATACCATCCACATGTCTGTCTACACCTACTTATAGTTCAGCTTTCTAGTGCCTCAACCTCTTGTTGATGTGTAAAAAACATACTATTGTAGGTTTCTGTTTACTAGGGTCGACTGTTTTCATATGCTGACACACAGCGCCATCGTCTTGGTGCCAACCATCTTCAAATTCCAGTGAACTGTGCATTCCGAACTCCCGTGACAAACTACCAGAGAGATGGGCCACAAACATTTCGCCACCAGGGAGGGGCACCAAATTACTATCCCAACAGCTTTGGTGGACCAGATAATGCACCAGGACTTCAGAGACCGAAATTTTCTATCTCAGGCGATGTCAGCAGGTAACAGACAGAGGGGAAACGAGATTTTGTCATTGCCATCACCATTATCATCAGGGGCAGAAAAAAATTATACCACTTCCTTCTTGCTACACTGAGAAGTAATTTACAACACCAAAATTGAGTCTGAGGTCTTGTAGCATGTGTCATCATGTAGTCTTGTAGCTCTGAAACAGTGGTAACCAAATTCAAGGTTGAACAGAGCCAAACCCCAAAACACCACAATCTGAATAGTAACCAGAGTGGAAACATCAAAATTGTAACATCATCTTTTAAGAGAATGACCAAACCCTACAAGAGCAGTTTAATACTCAGGGTGATTTGAAGTCCTATGGTCAAGCTCAGGAGATTGTTGCGGAGATCTACGGCAGGATATGTAAGTAAATTTTTGTTTGGTTTGTAACCCTTGTTGAGTTAGACATCTTGCTGCCTCTTAAGAAAATGAAACAGTTATCCATCCATATATAGTCACATGTAGGGGTTGCTGCGTGAGCTACACATTCGAAACTCAGGACTACAGGCAATACAGCGCTATCGCTGATCTACACATTTTACAGTTCACCATTGCACAGGCACCACGATTCTCAGTGTTCACTAGTCGTCTGCTGGAAACAGATTTATAACCGCCTCACTGGCACTTCAAGCACATGTGAAGTCTTCTTGCACCATCTAATTCCTCTCTTGCCATTATTCTGCAGCTGCCAATTCCAAAGACTCAACTTGACTACTCTCAACTACTGTTCTCTACTCTTAGAGTGACCTGTGTCCCTTTATAACCTCTCGTCATGGACCTCAGGAGAAACACCGTCTTCTATTGTTATGGATGCGTGTTTACATCTCTGTTGCCTAGCGATAAGCGCCCTATTGTTCTGCATGTTTGCTTCTGTGGGAATGTGTTTACTGACTCATTGACTAACAATGGGTATACATGTCACAATATTGTCGCCTGTTACATGGTAACCTACTTCTGTCTCCTAGGGAATGCAGCGGATCATTTCCCATAGGTTTTGGATTTAACGATTATTTATTGAACTCATTCATCCACATTTACTTAGAGTCAGGAATACAGTTACTATTACTTGCAGTATCACAACTACTGCCTCTACTTCAATACTTCTACTGTGGCTGTGACCTCGCAGCTGTCCTCGGTTGTGGCTGGATCTCTACTGTCTTTCAACGGCGGCTATCCCAAGACTGTCTTGGTGAATGCATTACCTTCTTATATATCTGCAGCCATTGCTACACAGTGAACCTTCTGTTGTAACCGTGGAGACTCACTGTTAGAATTACAATACTGCTATTGTTACTTCCTATGCAACGGTCTGTTCTAGCATTTCCATGTATGAATGTATAAGGGGTAGGCCTTGTCGGCCCTTGCACTGCGACCTACAATGGTCTTTTGTGCTTAGCATTTCCATGGAAGTAACCCTTGTAGATTCCAAACATGTGACAATATATTCAGTTATTTACATTTAGCATCTTGGTTGTGTAATCCTACAAATTTCTTCAGAAGAACTGCCCATAGTTACTCCAGCTTGAACGCATTCTTCACTCTTACATCAGATGATGTCCCTGATATTTCTAGGTTTGCCCTAGTGTGTTGCACCTCCACAGTGTTGGTTGTCATATGTTTATGCTTCCACAGTGTAAACCCTTTCTATGGTATGTCCCAATAAGAAAAAATCAAGTGGATTGAAATCAGAAGAATGCTGAAGGCAGATGAATTCCACAGCAGATACATGTGTCTGCAAAATTGGCAACTCAACCTGCTGTGCACTTGATGTGAAGGGTGAGAGGGGCACTATTATGCTGAAATCACATGCCCTTGTGAATACTAAGGGATACATTGTCCAATAAAAGAGGAAGTGTTCTTTCAAGGAAACCAGTATATTTTATTCCACTGAGATATGCTATCCAATTGGGTAATCATACTTTGATCCAAATGTCGATGCTAAGTCTTTGTGGAAATGAGGAGTGTCAGGTAGCAAAAGGATTCTCCAGTGCCCACTCATGTAGCCTGTGGAGACTGTTCACTCCATTTCCTGTGAATGTGCCCATGTAAGTCCATGGTATGGCACAAAATGTCAGGTTCATCCACAGTTCTGTACAGGTACCAGCAACAGAACTGCAGGGAAAGGACATAGCTGCTCCACATGCAGTTTATGCCAAGCTTCGGTCAAAGAAACCTGTTTTGCTTGCGGTCCAATAAATAATAATCAGTGGCTTAGCATATACTGCATTTAATACATCATTTCACTCTGAACATTGCATTTGCCAGGGCCAACATGTGTTCATGGTATGAATGTACTTTTCCATCAGACTGGGGTGTACCATTGCAGACATGCCTACTGGGTTACCTTTTATCTGGATGCCAATGCTGGTATTCCTTCAATGCAGCTGTGGCATTTCTATCATAGCCATGTATGAAATACATGCTGGAATATTCTATAGTAGTAAATCATGGCATTCTGTTCTGCTGGTATCAGTACTTTGGCATCTGAATTAATGGCAGCAACAAACGAAACTCTATGAACTCCATCTTGTAATGATATGAATGCCCTATCTCATAAACATATAAAATTAAGCAAGACTGAAATTTTGAGCTGTCCTGACTCTGAAACTGTAGCGGATCAGACATCTGTATGTTACATTTTCTGCTTCAAATTATCTCACATACCTCTACATAAACTAAAACAGGTAGCAGAAAAAAGAATAGCTTGCAGAAGATGACAACAAACGTGAAACCCATCAGACAAGAAAATTCTCAATCTACTCACCCATCAATTACACACCACAATACAATCAGCCCATAACGACACCTTCAGACATTATATATCAAAGTTAACTCCTGAAGATCACTCACTGTGGAAGACAACGAAGAAGTTTCAAAGGCCTATCATCACAACATCACCACTTAGAACCTTGAATAGAACCTGGGCAAGAACCAACCAAGAAAAAATTGAATATCTTTGCAGATCACCTAGCAAAAATCTTCTCACCTGCAAAAGATGACAACATCGATTAGCAAAAATCCTACAATTCCTGGACATTCCTTGTCAACTCTCCCTACCCATACAGCCCTTTTCTCCAGCTGAAGTCCATCATGAACTCCTTAAAATGCATTCCCGCAAAGCTCTGGGATTCGACCTATTAGTAGGTGTCATACTAACACCTTCCCACAAAAGCAATAGTACTCCTTACAACGATATACAATGGTATGTTAAGACTCTGTTACTATCCCATACAGTGGAAGTTCGCACAAGTAATTATGATTGCTAAGCCCGGTAAACCACCAACCGAAGCTTCTTCCTATCGGCCAATCAGTCTTTTGCTTATGATGTCCAAGACTTTCGAAAGATTACTATTAAACAGAATAAAACAAATGAGAGCAACAGAAGACGTCATTCCCCAATGCCAGTTCGGATTCAGACACCACCACTCAACAACTTACCAGTGTCATCGATTGGTTAACAAAATAAAGGAAACCCTGGAGGACAAGAAGATGTGTGCATCTGTATTCTTAGATATCCAAAAAGCCTTTGATAAAGTATAGCACCAGGGATTATTATACAAATTAAAAAATATCTTGCCTTGTGAGATCTACCTGTTGATAAAATCTTAGTTAACTGATCGCCATTTTCAAGTCACAATTGGAAATACACACTCCGGCTACCACCCCATCAATTCGGGGGTTCCAGAAGGTAGTGTTTTTGGCCCCTTTTTATGTATAATCTATACATCTGACATATCCCAAGCACACGACATAACATTGGCTATGTTTGCAGATGACACTGCAATTCTGTCCTCTCATAAAAACCCTAATAGGGCAGCAAAAAATATACAGCAATACCTCAATGCCCTCCAAGATTGGCTACAACCCTGGAAAATCACAGTGAATGTCGAAAAATCAGTGCAAATAACATTCGCCACAAAACAGAGCATGTGCCGACAAATCACAATAAACAATTCACCAATCCTTATACAATCTACAGTCAAATATCTTGGCCTTCACCTTGACNGGCTGCTCCCTTCAAACTGATTAACTTCCAAATGTGTCTCAGTCATAATATCTCGGCGCGGACAGAGAGAAATTACAGTTCATCTATTATCGTTCAAATCGTTTCTCTATACTCACACCCATATGGACGTACGGTATAGAACTGTGGGGCTGTAGTAAACCATCCAACACCAAAATCCTACAAACATTCCAGTCAAGAACACTACGTTACATAACTAATGCTCCATGGTTTGTATCGAATCAAACTCTTCACGAAGATCTTGGAGTTTTGTATATAAATGAGGTCATAAACAAACAAGCCATCAAATACAGAAACCGCATTGTGGATCATGAAAACCAACTAATAAAAGAACTCGCTGTCCAACCCTTAGTGCACAGAAGACTCAAACGTCAATCGCCAGAAGACCTATTCTAGGTAACGGAGGATAACCCATCAGTGGATGGTACTCCCTACAAGACAAGCAACGCCCTAACATTTGCTTATTAATCTGTATTAGTACATTATGAGTAGATTGTAAATATCCTAAAATCTATATAAATAAAAAAAATATCTCAACAGCCACCTGAAGTCTGGCCAGAGGAGTTTGAATCAACCTGTAGCCCATAGATGGTCTAACTACAACTATTGTTATGGATTGAGACAGTAGGAATCTAAGCTTTAAGTTTAGAAATTACACATCATATATTTTTTTAATGTTTATTTATATAGATTAATTATTTTTACAAGAAAATTCTTATTAAAAATCCCTAGAAAATAAAGAACCTAATGCGGTTTCAGATACAATTCCTCAGATGAAGATAACTTTAGTCAACCATCTCTCTTGTGGAGAAAAGTCCTGAAGACGGACGAGAGACACAGGCTCATTGACAACATTGCAAGCCATCTTAAAAATGCTGCAGATTTTATACAGGTATTTTATTGCCTTAATTTTTTAATTCACTAGTATATCATCTATTGAACTGAGCAGCTGGTGGACTCTTAAGACCTCAAATCCAAGCAGTTGGTTACTTAAAACCTGCTGAATGTTCAGTGGGAAATCCCAGCACTTGTTTTACAAACTCCCATGTTCCTTTCCCATCACACATTATACAGTATTGTGACGTTGCTCACGAGATCACAGAGTTCACGTGCCCCATCCACGTCACAGTCTATTGCACTTCACATATCCACATCAGAATATTATCACTACTAATGGAATAGACATGATGCACTGAAACAAAAAAATCACTGGTTCATGACCTACTACATAACTCATGTTCATGCAACGTTTGAAAGTTTGTTGCTTTGGCAACCAAAAATTTTCTATGACAACGATCAGATGCTTGTGAAACTTTTTGTATGTATAAAATGAATCCTTATATGTAACTTTTTTTATATACTGTATATAGAAGGAATCCTTCTTCATAGATATGAGTCTTGCAAGCATGAGGCTTACTGCTGTCAACATGCAGTTTCTTAATATAACATCAAAGTGTCCGGCAGTGGCATGTGTGTACGATGGGGTACCCAAAAGAAACTGAACTAATTTTTTTGTGGGCAGAGCTTTTGTAGTACAGCGGTTTGCGGCTATGAGCACATAGAGCTAACATTCCTGAGTCGATAAGCCGACTACCGTTGCTTCAGAAGGTAAGGACTAGTTTCGGCAGAGTTTATAGTGACAACTGTTTTGTGTGATCGTC